GGGGAGGGGAGGGGAGAATGAAACAGGGATTGTGGCCAGGGTAGGGAGGAGGGAATTTAGGGGAAGGAGATACTGGTAGGAGGAGGGGTCAGAACTTTGCCCTCTCTCCTCCCTGGCCTGGCCTGGAAGACTCTTCCCCAGAAACCCATGTGGTCCCTCCCCGCCTGCCTTCTGAAGGGAGGGAGGGAGGTCACATCCTCACAGAGACCTTCCCCGACCACCCTGTCCATATTCGCTCCCCTTCATTCCCTTATCCCCTTACCCTGTTATAGTCTTGCCCCACCTGATCTATGGTTATTAACTGAGTGTGTGTTATCCACCTCCCCTCACTAGAACAAAAGCCCGAGGAGGGCAGGGATTTGCGTGTGGTTTTGTTCACAAAGCATTCCTGGCACTGCACAGTGAGTATTCAGTCAATACTGGTCGAATGAATGAATGGGTTGAAGGAAGGTGGAGGGCTGGGGTGGGCAGGTGAGATTCCAGTGGACAGCCCATGGGGAAGTGGGGATCCACTGACTGAAGCTGACGGGCAGGTTTAAGCAGGAGACAGAAACCCAGAAACAGGGATCCACAGGGGCCTCAGTGTACCAGCAGAAGAGTAACCACCTCTAACCTTTGACCTCACCTTGCTGGGCAACAGCCCTGCCCTCTCGCTGCCAGAGCCAGGGACAGGCCTTGGAGCCCCGGGAGGCGCGAGCCATCAGCAGCTGGTGCTGTGGGCGGTCGCTGGGAACCTGGAAACCACGCCGCAGCTTGCAGGCCCGGGGCGTGAGTCATGGTAGCTGCCTTCAGCTGGCTTTTAATTATGTAATATTTGATACAAACAAAAATACCCAGACTCAAGAGGCACCCACATAATGAAATAATAAGAATGATAAGATGAACACCAGCGAAACTGTTGGCTATCCCAGAGCGAACTGCATGTTGATTTGGGGGTGGTTATACCCTTGCTTTGTTTTTTAGCTAGTTTTTCTCACTAGACTTGCTTTCTGCCACTTCTTATAACGTGGGTACAACATGTAACCCTGT